ATGCACTAAACAGTAGCATTTAATAATTTCAGGTGTCAAAGGAGAGTGAATCCTCTCCTACATGGATTTTTGTGATAGTGCAAAACATTACATGGAGAAGGAATCAAGAAGGACGGGAGTAGTATAAGTACAGAGGGAGTCGGGGCAGACTAGCTGCCAAGACAAGCAAAAAACGAAAACGAAGCCACGACAATAAAAAGCGCGATTCCCCTCATTCGCCCGGTCCTGCCGGTTAACCTTTATTTTCCCCCCCTTTTCTATTATTTTTTGCGACACTTCCCCCCTCTCACACCCCCTTTGCCACTCTACTTTCTCAAAAATTGTTCCCCTGTCATACCTCTCAACCCCCCACAATTGTGGGTCTCCAATTTCCCGTATTGAAGGACGCGGGCGAAAACAACCTGTTTGAAGCCATTTGACATTTTCACACACGTGCAAAAAGGGCTCAAATGAGAAAGAGGGGCAATTTGGTAATTTTAGTTATGAACCGGAAAGCGACAACAGAGATTGCACAACCTCATCTTCACTCCCTGTACCCTTCCTGAAGGCATGCTTCGAGAGTGTACGGCTCATTGCCGCACCGTACCTCGCCGCAGACGTGGACGAAAAATTCTCGTCGCGTGCGGAAGAGAGCGGGATCTGGTTTTCTGATCCCGACGTTGACTTCGCACGGTCATTTTCACTCGACAATCGCAGCTGTGCGCGCTTGCGTTCCCGTTCTGGCTTCTTCTCATCTTTGAACAGCCTTTCAATGGCTAGTTTTACGTCTCTCTCTTTTCCGCTTTCAATTATTTCGTCCAAAATCAGATAGAGAGCAGGTGTCCCTTTTTGCAAATTGTAGCACAATTCCGTACCACAACCCCCCCGGCGAGATGATAACCGCGCGGGAGGGCGGGTGCTACTGTAGCGAGCAGGCGTACACGCGCCCGCCGCCGTGCACAGTAGTACCCCAAGGGTCCGACGTGGGACAGCCGGTAACAGCGGGCGTGGCCACTGGTAACACGTGACACAACCGTTAGCCGGGATCGTGGCCACGGCCACACGTGTATAATCCGTACGGTGGCTAACTAGTAATTAGTAGTTAATGGCACAAATTAGCCAATTTAGCACAGTAGCTGGTATACAGTAAGTAACAGCTACTGTAGCGAGACAGGTGTCCTGGCGTCCCACTTAGGGGTTAAGACCATGGGCACCTGCCCCCTTCCAGTAAACGGGAGGCAGACTTGCCTCCCTTCCCTTTACGGCTAATTGCTATCCCGTTCCGGTTTCCTTTTTAGTCTCAGGCTTCCAACCTGTGACCGGCCGTCCGGATCTAACACCACCGACCGGCTGCGCGTCACCGGCCACGTGAGCCTTCCCTCTTTTCGAGTCCTTCCGTACGGTTTGCGTTCGCGCGTGGGTTACCCAGCGGCGCGCGCTCCCTTACCTCTGACCCCCCTCGTTTCCGAGTGGTCGGGACGAAGGTAGTTATTTCCACACAAATCAACATTTTTCGAACGAATTGCGGTCGAACTCTTACTTTTCGAGGAACGTGTGCTTGTCATAAGGAATATTGATCACACTCCTGCTCTTGCTCAACAATATTTCAACATCACGGAGTCCTGTGGTGGAGTCATTTGCTGCCTCCGAAACGTTTTTGAGCTTGCGAAAAGTCAGATTGTCGGGGTTGCGAGTTCTATTTGCGACATTTACTAAAGCTGCCTGGCAACTTTTTGGGTCATATGACACCGCATTTGGACCTTGTCTCTTAAACCTGTCGAGAAATGAAAAGTTCATTGGCCATAACCCCGTCTTTTTGAAGCTCAACTTTATCTATCAACAGTGATATCACTGTAAGCCAATGTCGCCACCATCAGATTTGAGCGGACACTTCGCATGTCAAGTGTCGTTTGCTTATGAAGCAAGTCAGGGTATTTGCACATCCCTTTTTTGAAAGACGTGTTGAAGTCCTGGTCGCATGGTTGTAAGAAATGAGTTGTGTTAGAGGGAGATTGGGCGACGTCGCACTTTTTTCGCTTGCATATCTCGAGCCATTCGTAGCATTCTCGCGATGAGTGGCCGTCGAGAGTCATGCAGTAAGGAAGCTCCGGGGGTATCTTCGTCCTCACAAACGTGTCCACATGCTCCATCACAAAGGAAATAATTCTTTTTTCCATACTTCCCCTGTCTATCGTCATGATTACGGTTCCTTGGTCAACCCATTTTTTTCAGATAACCTCTCCGTTTCAGAGGAATGGCATGTTATTTCGGTCTGTTGGAGTGGCAAGATCCATCCACTCATTACATTCTTACCCTCTACAATGAAAAAGGGTGATATTTTGTGACCAGACGCAGAAACAGCCACAACAATTGTAATATGCTTGTTGTTTTTGCTAGCTTGACAAGTCAAATACTCACCGTGATTGGTGCGTGAGGACCCCAATACTTTTCACTCCTTACCTCGAATTGACAGTCCACAGCTGTCTCGTCGAGGTTCCAAAGGCGGAAGGGGTCGTTGATTATACCAGGATTAGCATGTTGCACTTTTTCAGTGCATTTGAAATGGTTGACCCATGGGTGAAAATTTCAGCCTCCAACTTTGGGACGTCTTTGTTCTCACTTTTTCGATAAGTGACGTCTCTATTCACTGCACGCCAATGGCGGATGGTGTCTTGAGACGGACTACCAGATTCGGTGCGAAATCCTGGACGTCCATCAGACGCTATCTGAGTCATTATATTTCTCACATCACCGTTTGAGAGTGCAAAACCCTTTTCTGCCGCGTATACAATCCTTTTCTTATCAAAGTTGACTCTTGTCCAGTAAGAACTGTGCGGCGTCCTCTGCAGTGGGCTTCTGGAGATAGAACGGCGTTGAGTTTGGATTCAGCACGCTCTTCGAGGTCGTGATAAATCCGATCTACTGTTGTGCGAGGTACATTTGTCGCTTTCACATCGGGAGACCGTTTAGTACCTATACAGAGGAGTGCGGTGGCTTTTTCCCGCTGCTTTTTCACGAATGCGTCGCGTTCCTGCCTCCTTTTTTCGATTGCACTCTGCATGCGCATGGAGAGTCCCATGACGCACGAATACTTGTAGTGAAAGTCATGATGTCAGTGCTGTAAAAGACAGTTGTACGAGCGTTGGGACGCCGTGGGGCTGCAGGAGTTTGATTTTTGGCGGAATTCTGCATCGCAGGGCAACGAGGGAGGACGAAGGAACTTGTACGACTATCGCTAGCATGGCAACGGCGTATTCTTGAGAATCTGGAAGGCTAATACTAAAAATTCCCAAATTGCCCCGATTCCCAAATTGCCCCGATTCCCAAATTGCCCCGGTCAGGAAGGGTACATTGCCGTAACAATGTTACTGTACAATGCTGTAAAGTCGACCCTACGCATTAGTGTCACCCTGTGTAAGGACTAATAATGCGGCACTAATTCGGAGCGGCACAATCAGAAAGCAGAATCACTACCCGGCCTGAATCTCTGTTATTAGGGTCTGCTGTTGTTGCCTTTGACCCTGTCTCTCATGCATAGCTTCTAGAAAAGCTCGTTTTGCGGACCTCAAGTGCGATAAGGCATTGCTCACATCGCACTTCACACCCAGACTCTCCAAAGACCCAAACAACCTTGCTAACACTACAGCACTCGGTACGGCCCGTTTCTCCGTAATTTCACACTCGCCTTCTGCCACACAATCATCCATCATAGCATCACTGGCAGACTGATTCTGTAGCTCTCCACCATAATGTATTGAATCGCAAGCATCACTAATAGAAGGTTCTGCCACAAGCTCATTAGTCTCGATCTCAATCCATTCCTCCACATCGCAGGGTGCAAAGTCTTTGTTCCGAGCGTTGTAGCGGTGTTGGTCACAATTTGTTGGAGTAAAGGAAGAGAGCGTTTGATGTTTCGGATGGTTCGCTCTGAAATTTTGAACTGACGCATTCCTGCCCTGCAGCAGATGCCCAACCTCGATTTTCTGTGCAATCGCAAGGCGCGTACGCTTCGCTTTGGCAATCTTTTCAGGAATCATGTTAGGGCCTTTGAGTGAGGTGCCATCATCAATTGAGCTGCGCATGAGGAGTGGGCGATGACGACGTCGTGCATGACACGTGGCAGAATTTGTGTCTGCCGGTTTTTGCGGCACTAATTCGAGGGTGGCAATAATGAAAGCGGCACCATTGCGCGTCCCCCTCTGTACCGTATAGTAGTGGCGAGGCTGACCGTGCGATCCGGATCGCTCCATGTGGCACACGAAACCAGTGTGGGTGAATTGGACCGAGGGGGCTGAGGGTGTGTGAGCGGGCGACATTTGGCGGATGTCGGGAGGGCGGTGGAAAGGGGCTGCTTGGAGGCCACGGTGAGAGCGAGAAATAAAATGAAAAAACTTGCAGATACCCTTCGAAGGGTAGATGATCATCTGGAATCCATGACGCAATGGGTCTAGAAGCAAGGGCCCCGAAGTTTTTTGGAGGAAACACTTTTTCCAATTTTGGTCCGTTTTGTGCACGCGTGAGCTACCCTTGGGTACCCTTCGAAGGGTACTCGTGAATCTGGATAACGTTCCAATCCTTGAGCAACATTTCGCCTCGTTTTTCGGTCCACACACAAATTCTGTTTTCTGCCTCACATTTTTTTACAATGTTTTTCTATTCCAACTCTGCACCAAAATCTCCTTTGCCACACTGCCCCGTTTCCACATGTGCCCAGCAAAATCTACCAACCCCCGTCGCCTCCCCACCTCCAATCCAACGTCTTTGTAGCTCTTCTTACGGGCGGTTCTAGACTACTGGCACACACAAGTTGCTACTTTCCTCTCTCCTTCCTCAACCCATACCCATACTCTCTGCCTCCCTTTCGAAGTTCCTGCGAGTCACACGCAAACCTCAAGACCCATCCCTTCGCACTTCACTGCGGAAGTTCTGCGGAAGCCGTTTGCAAGTTTAGGTTGTCGTTTCTTTTCTTGTTTTTCCACTTAACAAGGAGACAGGCCCTTTCATCCGATGAGCCGAACGCGATGCCGCTAACAGTTCCTTTGGAGCCGAGTCTGGACTCTCTGCTATCGTCTCCTTCGTACGACGCCCTGCTGCTTGCCGCAATCGTCCAGCGTTGCCCCGGTAGCCATACACGCCCCTCACTTCAACTGCTGCACGCGGTTTCCCCTCATCATTCTCCGTCTTCTCCGACTTTCACGTCTGCTCGTGATGCCCTTCTTGCGGCAGCACCGTTTATCTTTCCATCGGACATTCCACATCCATCTTCGGACTCGGACTCTGATCTTGACACAGATTGTGACACCGACCCTCAAGTGAGCGCAAGCTCCGAAAAGGCACCCTCAGAAGCCCCTCCTTTGAAGTTGACCCCCACTGCAAGCAGTACCCCTGTTTCCCCGACCGATTTCGATCCGGCCGCTCAGCTGGATCGAGCCGTCGAGAGCTCGCGTACTCTTCCGCTGTCGTCGGTTGCAGTTTTTGATGCTCTCGCAGAGTCATCTCCACGAATACCATGCAAAATCTCCTCTATTTCGTGGGGTCCTCAGGCGGATGCCGGGAATGATTCCCCTCGAAGAGCCAACAGCTTACCGCGGAGGCCTAACAGTTCTCCACCACCTCGTCTCCGCTCCCTTGGTCTTCCCGGATACACTCGAAGCAGAGACTCTGGAAGAAGAGATAATGGCGAGCACATGAAGAGAGACCCTCGGGCTCATAGCAAACTTTCCATGCGCTTTCGTCATCTTCTGCTTGAGGCGCAGTCTCACGTTTTTGCCATGACGGCCCGAGACGGATCTAGGCAGTATGTTTACTGCAGGTCCTTAGCGCCCAACCATACATTAGTGGTTGTAACTTTGGTTAGCTTTACGGCCGTTTATGTCTCTGCTCTTGAGCATACAGCTGCCCGATACGTTCTACTTGTGGATGAAAGGTCAGTTGAGGAGCCACGTGCAGGGAGACAAATGTCTGAGTCTACTCGGTTTTTAACTTTTCAGCTCATGCGATGCCCTGCGGAGGTTGCAAAACTCCTAGTACGCAATCTTTTCGAATGGCTGAAGGCTAGCACTTGTCCCAGAGGCCAGAGCGAGAAATGCCACAGCTTGTTGAAGAGAGCAAGGTTGAGATTTTTGAGCGAAAATGTCGATGCGGATTTTGATGGTAGCGTTGGCAATCGTCCCAGTGCAACATTCCCGACGTCCTCGTCGACGAGTTCAGGCGGCTCTTTGGGCGCACGGGATGGACTTCCAAGGAGGCTTTCAACTACTACTTTGCTGGGGTTGCCGCCTGAGTGGGATACTAACCGGTTCTTCGCGAGAAAAGACAGCGCGTCGGGCGGCAGTAATGGGCCTGAGGTGACAGAAATCCGTTCTCTACCATGGGAAGTGGCTGCAGAGTGTGACGGGAAGCATTTGATATCAACCGTGACCCGTGTTCTAGAGCTCACCGATGCAACGCTGCTCTTCCGACACTTTCAGGTGCGTGCCATTATGTCTGTGATTGTGGCTTTGCTTGAGGAGCGCCGGGTGTGTATTGTAGGACCCGACACAGCAATTGTATCTCGTGCCGTGGTCGCTTTTGACAATTTGCTCAGACCATTTGAGTGGCCACATTTGCTGTCGCCAATTTTGTTGGAGCATATGCTACCAGTTCTTGGGGCACCCTTTCCGTTTTTGGTAGGCATTCTTGGTGGTCACATGAGTGCAGCAAGAAATCTTCCATTGGGAGAGGTGATTTTTGCAAGTCTTGAAACGGGGAAAGTCACTTCGACTCAAGAGAGCGCTGTTGATTTGCATAGGCGGATACCTCGCAAGGTGAGGATGCGGTTTGAGCGGCGTCTTTTGAGGGCAAAAAATGCATGCTTACGGCAGGTGAATAGATCAATGCCATTCCCGTTCGTTCCCAATGTTAGCAACACTGCGTCATCGTATTTTGAAGACCGCCTGTTTAGTCCAATGGCGAACAGAATGAAGTCTTCAGGACTGTGGCGTTCGAAATCGCAACTGCGCCTTTACAATGAGGCCAATCCACAGAATATATGGCTTGAATGTGAAACTGTGGATTCACTCGATAGATACATGCGGAAGTTTTTCGCTGAACTGCTGAGTGGCACCTCTACCCGCGAAAGGAGAGGCACGGGCGAGCTACCCGCGAAGGGTGAAAATTTATGGAAGAGTGTCCCAAATGGGAACAAGTTTGCTTCTTTGCGGAGGGATGCTGACCGCCAGCAATTGGCTAAAGCCTTCCGCGAAACACCACTGTTCATGCATTGGGAAGAGTTGGACTCAGCAAATATGACGTTTGGGATCTTAAAATCCGAAGCATCCCAAGTGAGGAAGCGATCGACTTTACGTGAGAAAATGCTCTCCGCCAGAGACTCCGCAGCCGCGGATGAGGACTCAGTTAACGATGATTCGGCAATGGATATGCTCGGTGCGAGCGACCTTGAATGCTATGAGGAGATCGGTGATGATTTCATGGTAAACGTCGGTGACGTCTCCATTTGGAATCAAAGTCGAAATAAGAAGCTTCGCATGAACAGAAATCGGCTTCACTTCAGTGATGAAGTCGAAGAGTTTGGCAGTGACAACTCGGATTTGCAGTCTGAAGTTGAGCCTGGCTTTATGAAGAAGGAGGCCAGGTCCTCTGGTAAGCCGAGGAGGAGGAATGTGAGTACAGATTGCATCCCAGATGTGGACACGAGTGTCAAATTTAAGCCACAGAAGGGACCTAAAGGCGTCAGAGGCAAGGCACGCCGCCGCCAACATGCCAGGAAAGACTTATTGGTGGATTTGGAGTCACTTCTATTCTTGAAGGAGAATATTCGATCTATTCCCAGGGCGCGTCGAAGAAACGCTAGCACAGATTGCATACCAGACGTCGAACCCATGTATCCAATTGAGGATAACGGTCGTCCGCTATTAAAGCAACACCGTCGAACAGCGACCACGGACTGCGTCTCGACCTTTGACCTAGGTTTACTGGCTGAAGTGTCCCCACCGACTGTCCAGGAAGAAGCAGTCATCACTGAAAATCGACTGAGGTCGGATACGGATGATTGGGGCCGTGGTGGCGCGGCGAGGGTACCAATTAGGTCATGGCGTTATCTAAGGATCCCACCCTATCTGCGTGAGGTGGGAGAGCGTCGTTTGGTTGTCTCGCCAAACCAATCTGACGATTGCGATGTGGATAAGACAGATGAGGACGGAACGGAAGTTGAAGAGACTGACGAGGAAACTTTGGATAGACTTGATATCGAAGGCAGTGCTTGCGTCTTTCCAAGTGAAGATGCCATGCTGAGCAAAAACCATGTTCGTGCTTGGGGTAGGCGTCGTGCTCGCCACTCCCGTGTGTATTAGTGCACAGTAGTATCATGGCATCAACCTACCGCGTTTTCCTTAAGAATAATCGTGTATATAGGCGCCTACCATGAGACAGGCATTGTAGGATCAATGAACATATAAATCATCGCTTAGCAGCGTGCACAGCAGAAACTTGTTGTCAAGAAAGGAAGGGGGTTTTGTGAGACGGATGCAGAAAAGTCGCAGTAGGATAGCCCAACCCAACACTAGGCCAATACTGAATAGTGAGGCTTGATCGTGCTGTTGTAGATACTGTCGAGCATTCTGAGGGAGTCGGACACCGACTCGACTTTGGCCTCCAAGGATAATTTCAAAAATTCGTCTGTGCCCAACGGGGCACCTAGCAGAGCAACTACTCCTTCGTGTGGTACGGCAATGGAAAAGACTGGGTCAGGGATTCAAGGAGGGACGGCTCTGATGTCGGCCAGAAGGCGGCGACATTTGGCAATGTTTATAGAAAGAAGAAAGAGATAATATTGCGTTTAGGGGGGCGATCATCTCGTACGGCGAAAATCTCCCTTCCCGGGTGATTCGCCGTACGAGGAGGGGCTGAGGTGCCAGAGAGAACAGTATCGAAGCACAGCCTGAGGGCCGAAGAGGGGCGTAGCGGAAGCTGAGGGACTCGCGAGCTAGGAATTGGTTGGTTGACTCATTATGTTGGGGTCTGTATCGCGTCGAGGTCCGCTTGCGCTGGGTCAGAGTTGCCGCGAGGGCAGTGAGGGGGGAGGGGGGAGCTCGGCGGAGAAGGAAAGTGGGCGCCTGCGGAGGAGGTTTGGGGGTGAGAAAGAGGCAGAAAAGGCTATCGGTGTTTGGGAGGCTGGTGGGCAGCTTGGGACATCAGCGGGTGAGGGGGAAGGACTCGTTTCGGAGGAGGTGCCAACTGAGGCGTGGGCGGGCTGACCTGAGCGACTGCAGCAGCAAACTCCGATCTCCAGCAGGGTGCCTGCCCGCAACAAACGCAAGTCTGGTACCACGTCGTGCCGCCCAACAGATCACGTGCACCTGCGCGAATACTCGCTGAAGCGAATATTGTAGCTCGCCACAAGGATAGAATGGGTTGTCGAAAAAGGGATGAGTTTCGTCTTCTTGACAGGCTGAGGGCGGCCGTTTGGAGAGGGCCGCTTTTTAGAAGCTTCTACTTGTCTATCTTTCGCGGTTGTTTCGGTGGCATCTGTGGCAGATTCTGTCGCGCGTTGATCCGTTGATGGACTCTGCGTAGATGAAGCGATAGGGGCGTCCATGACGCATATCGATACGACCCGTGCACTCTGAGACTCGTTTGTGCTTGTGAAAGGAACGGAAAACCCACCTCGTTTTCCGTCGTTTTCCTTCAAGACGGGCCGATCCGGCACTGCTGTGATTAGGCGGATGTGAAACTCGTGGGAAACTCACATGCGCCCAGTTTTCGGTATGCTGTGAGTTTTGCCAAACGCGTTGTCTGAAATAGTTGCGTTTAGAAAATCCGGGCAAACACGCCGCCAAAACACGCGTTTTCGCGACTTAACGGACAACCTTCATAAAAAACAGTTCTCTTTTATTTTTCACTAGATCAAGGAGGGAGCCGATGCCACATCACAGGACAGGCTTACACAGGGCCGGGGGGGGGGGAATTTTATTCAAATGCAAGGGTGGGCCGGTACAGTATCATGCGGGCTTAACACTTGCTGTGTGATTTCTCTAACATTGAAGGGGGGCCGATGCACTTGCTGATACGATTTTTATTCAAATTTGTGGTTCCATCCAGAGCCAAGTCAGTAGTGCACCCACGATAAGGCGCAGCCAGTAAGGCACACCACTCACTTTGACAATAAAGTCACCGCCGTCCCCCCAGCCCTCTCGGGATCGGGGGTATCGGTGTTCCTGGAACCACAGGTTATGGGCCATACGCAACCGCTGAACACGATCCGCCAACTCCCAACAAACAAAAACCAAGGAAGACGTTAACAGACGCGCCACACGCGCAAGAAGATAAGCCGCACTGCACGATCACACTAACAACACCAGCGATCGCCCCCGACATGTCAAAAACACAGCATGAGTGACAAAGCCACCACACATGGCCACTTGCCACAACTAACCCTCACAAATTTTACTTACTGGTACGATGCGTTTGACATACACGCGCAAACAATAAACGCACAAGCCGCCCTCAGCGCAATGACTACATCACTCACCGACCCAGTTCAACAAGCTGAACGACAGAAAAAGGCCAATCTTCTCAAGAATGCCATCATGTAGAGCTTGAGTACGGAGGTGATAAAACTCCTACCACCGCACATACTCCGCTACGAGCCACATGCGATCCGTGCAACTGTGAAAAAGCTGTATACACTTGCTCCCTGGAAAATCATGAGCTACTAGACGCGGAAGCACGCACACTCACGTTCTCAACCGATAAAAACTTCAACGAATACGTGAAGAAGCATCGTGATCTCAGGTACAGGATGCAAGTATTGTAGTATAACGACGGACGCGCGCGCGGGGAGATTATTAACAGTGCGGCCGTGCACGGTGGACACGTAGGCGGGTGTGCCCACGTGTAGGGAGCGCGTGCGTGCCGAGCGGTCGTAATCTGGCGTACGTGTACAGTAGTGCACGTGTCGGCCAAGCGATAGTCTGCCAGTATTACGCGTGTACGCTAGAACACGTGGCATCCGTGCGGTAGTCTGTAAGCAGCACGTTTGTACAGTAGTACACTAGTGTAGCTGCAGCGTCCGCGCGGTAATTAGGAATTGAGGCGCTAGTTTTTTAATGGCGTACAATACCTGGTACGCACTAGGCGGCACGTACTGTATACTGGGACAGGTGTCCGAGGCGTCCCTCTGAGGGGTTAAGACCTGACACCCGTCCCCACCAGTAAACTGGGACAAGCTCGCCCCCGTCCCTTTCGCGCCTATATACGTCCGTTTCGGTTGTCTATCGCGCGCGCTGGCTTCTAACCCGTTACCTGTCGCTCCCGTTCACGCACCACGGGGCGACTGCGCGTAACCGGCCAGTGAGCCACTCCCTTTTCGCCAGCTCGTCCGATCGGTTCAATTAGCGCGTCGCGTCCACGCCGCGTGCTCCCTCGCTATAGCCTGCGCCTCTCACCCAACCCAGGGCGGAGAGGAGTTATCCCACAAGTATCAGGGTACTCTAACATCGAAGCTGAACGCACTACCATGAGATACATGGTACAAGGCCTTGCGCATCACTCCGAGATGAATGCACTCGCCATGATGCTCGCATGCAATCCACCAACCACCATACGTGAGCTTACCAACCACATACACCAAGTGCAGCTCATCCAAAGCAACACACCGGCAACACAGAACCAACAGGCATACCAGCAACCCAACACAAAGGGCAAAACCGCCACCAGACGTAGACAACATACCCCAAACAAAACGGTCGGCAAACCGCGACACTACGAAAAACCAACAGGCCACACAGGCCCATGGTGCCATTACTACGGCAGCGTAACACACAGCTCAACCAACTGCTACGCGAGTAGACCAGCCCGCCGACTACCTGCGGCGCGCGCGAACCAAGCCACAGCCGTAGACACAACCGAACAATCAGACGACACCATCAACGACCTCACCGAACGCCTCCAATTTTTGGAAGATGTCATCGCCGAGCAACAGGACCCCAAAGACTGTAAGAAGAACTTTATATTAGACTCCGGTGCCCACCCCACGCATCTAGCTACACCCCACGCAAAAATGCAACGCAGCACCGGGACAATAACACAAACAGCAACGGGACATCGCGCCCAAATAACACACACCGGCGCCATCACACTGCAGACGAAGAGTGACACCATCACACTGCCCGCAGTGCACACGCCGCAGATCACAGAAAACCTCATGTCAGTTCACGATCTCACCAAGTACGGAGATGTAACATTCAGCAAGATCAAGGCAGTGCTGCACAAGCCAACCGCACTACCGCCGGCCAAGCTCACAGCAAAGTACCGACAAGGACATTACCGCCTCTCACACGCCAAGCCAACAACAACCAAGGGGGCCCGAGCACAGCCAAGCAAGCGTAACGGAGCGAACAAGGGAACCCGCATCCATGCCAGCACGCACAAGACGATATCAAAAAATAAAACACCCACGTCAACGAAACGTGCACCTCCACCAAAGAGACCCCAAACCGCAACCCGGGACACGCTCCAGTACTCGACAAATGCACGAACAAGAACCCCCACGCTACGCAACGCCACAGCCCCCAAAGGAGCACGCCGCAAAACCAGCACAGCCAAACAGATACTCCACGAATGGCACTTGAAACTCGGACACGTGCACCACAACACAATTGCCATAATGTCTAAACAAGGGCTTTTGCCCATCCTCCCAAGAGGCATCACCGATAGAAGCGCACAAATCACATGTAGTGGCTGCATAGATGGCAAGACCACTACAAGACCACACCGCCGAACCAAGCACACAACCGCCATAGGCGACAGCCTCTCATCAGACGTATGTGAACCGATCAAGCCAACCTCGGCACGCAATGCCAACTATTTTATAACCCTCATAGACACGGCAACGCGATACGTCTGGGTGTACGGCATGAACAATCGCAAGCAAGTACCAGTCACCATCATCAATGCAATAGAACATACCGCTGCACAGCATCAGCAATACCCCCGCCTACTCGTGACAGACAACGCGAAAGAGTAACTCGCACGTACAGTGCAAGAACAACTCCTACGGAGGGGAATCGAATTTCGGCCGACAACGCCGTACACACAGCAGGAAAACACATTGGCAGAGAGAATAAACAGAACGCTCATGGAAAAGGTACGCGCCACACTCTCCCACAGCCAACTGCCAGACGTGTATTGGGAAGACGCGCTATGCGACGCAGTATACAAATACAATTTGACATACCACCACAGGATAAAAAGCACACCACATACGGAATGGTTCAACACACCTTCCCAAGTCAAAAAATGTTCACTTTTGGCCAAACGGGATACATACCAGTGCTCAAACCGCACGCGCCAAAGCTGCAACACAAGGCACACGCAGTACGCTACATGTACGGGATCGATGACATACACATATGCATACAGAACATCGGCACGCGACGCTACGCAAAAATCAGGGCAACGGACTTCAGGCCGTACCACCAGCACAGTGACCCATGCAGGCATGCACCAGCAGCCTTCTCAGCCACAACCACACAGCACCACAAAACGAGCCAGCGCAGCACTACCAAAGTGCCAAATGGCCAACACACGCCCACACAAACAACAAAAAAGGCACACACCAGCAAACAGGCAAACAAAACGAAACATACCAGACGCACGCCAACGACGAGACCGATAACAACTCACAAAGGCAGGACACCACAAAAGAAGAAGCCAATCCACGACAAGAGGAAGCCACAGCGCCCCACCAAACCAGCAAAAGGCAAGACAAAGCCAAGCAAGAAAACGCGACCACGAGCCATCCCTCATACAGTAGACAGAACAACCGCACCACCCAAAACGCTGAAACGGGTAAGGCGTTACCCGGATGCCTCACAGTGGGCAATTGCCCATAATGCGGAGCTGGACCAAATCGACGAAATGAATGCGATCGACTGGTCAGCACAGACCCACCCGAGCAAGAAGAGAACGATCATACCGACCACGATGACATACAGATACAAACACGGTAGTACCACAACAGACACCACACGCAAAGCCCGGTGCTCGGTCAGAGGAGATGGAATGAAGGCCAACGTGCACTATGACCCAGATAAAATCGCGACATACATGGCCGGCCGCACAACGATACGCACACTCTTCGCGCTCGCAGCCTCACGAAACATGGTCATAGAGCATTTTGACATAACAGAAGCATACCTTCACGAAAAATATCAACACAAGCACAAAGTGTATGTGTGGCAACCGCAACGGCTTGACGGCTCGTACAAACACACGAGCACCCATGGCGAGCTCAAAGGCAACCACTATGGCACCCCCGCAGCGGCAAACATCTAAAGCAGAGAACTACACCGGCACCTCAGGAGACATGGCAAGCAGATGAAGGCAGACCCCTCCCTTTTCATCAAAAAACATGCAAAGGAATCATCCTCGTCGGGATAAGTATGGACGATTTTCTGCCCATCGCCTCCGACACAGCCCTGATCGATGACCTGTACAAAACCCTGCAACAAAAGTACACGGTCAAAAGACTGGGTAGGCCAACCAAGTATCTCAACTGGACAACAACCGTACAGTACAAGAAGGAGGGGATCCACCTCTCAGAGCCGGGTCACATCAACAGCGTCGTCGCGCTCATGTCGCAACAGGACAGCAACCCGAAGCGCGCACTTTACCTCGACGGCATCAACATGGATCCGCCAGCCGACGACGAACCCATGAGAGAAGACATCGCTGACATCTACGGCCAGGCAGTAGGGGAAATCCGCCACATAGCGGACAGCACGCGACCAGACATCGCATTCGCAGCAATGGCCCTGGCACGAGCCCAGAAGAAGCCCACACAGCGCCATTGGCAACTAGCACAACGGCTATTACAGTACCTGCAATCGACGAGAAGAGAGGGGATATTGATGAAATCGGCAAGCCAGCCGAGCGTCCAAATCAACACGCACTCGGACGCAGACTGCGCCAACGACCAGTAGTCCAGAAAGTCCATAACAGGCTGCCTCACGCTGGTCAACGGCTCGCCCGTGCAGTGGGTCGCGAAACGGCAACCTGTAGTAGCGAAGAGCACGTGCGAGACAGAGTATATCGCAGCCGCAGAAGCGGCCACACTCACAATATGGCTGCACCAACTGCTCCAAGAGACCACACTGCCTACCGCCTGCCCCAACCTCCACGTCAATACGGCCACCGTGCAGATGGGGAAAAACATGAGAGCCACACGCAGACGCACGTGTATCGACGTAATATACCACTACTTGCACGATCGCGTGCAAACAGAGGAACTCACAATTCTGCGCATACCAACAACGGACCAATATGCAGATATATTCACGAAACCTCTCAAGGTAACGCTATACACAACCCACAAAGACAATGTTCAAGTACAGCCACCGCCAACACGTCCACACCAGCCCTCGCGTCGAGGGGAGTGTAGTGCCATCCAGAAACCACATCAGACGCTCAGTCAGCGTGCACGCAAGACCAAACAAAAACGAACCGCACATGGTTCCATCCAGAACCAAGTCAGTAGTGCACCCACGATAAGGCGCAGCCAGTAAGGCACACCACTCACTTTGATAATAAAGTCACCGCCGTCCCCCCAGCCCTCTCGGGATCGGGGGTATCGGAGTTCCTGGAACCACAAAATTCTACGAGGGACCGATGCTGTAATTACGGGGCAGGCGTCAAGGGATCACACTTGGGCTGGATGGGAAAGGGCTGCGCCGTGGTACGGCATGCGGGCGAGGGTTGCAGAGGCGACGCTTGACCAGATCGCGAAACTGAGGCGTTGTTGTAGGCGGTGCTTGGCGGTGCACTTGCTTTTATGTGCACTTGCTGTGTGTTTTATTTTCACTAATCAAGGGGGGGCCGATGCCATATCATAGGGCAGGCTTCAAGGACTCACAATTGGGCGGGAGAAGATAAGGCCGCGCCTCCCTTACTACATTACAACTGTAAGCACTTGCTTACAGTTGTAATGTTAAGGGCATGTAGCGTTCAATATATTCTAACAGTCTGCCTTCCTCCCGCACCGTCTTACAGCTCCAAGGCCTCCCTAGCTCAGTCGGTAGAGCGACAGACTCTTAATCTGTTGGTCGCGGGTTCGAGTCCCGCGGGAGGTGGTCTTCGCAAAGCGGCAGGTGATGATTTTTTTTTTGTACCACCCAGCTCCTACTTTAATACATTTCATGTTGCACGGGCAGTGAAGTTTGAATTGCGGTGGACACTCTAGTCAATACTCTGAATTGGTCTGCCTCAAAGTCATAGAAAGGACGCTGTTCCCCTTGACATATTTGGCCACACTCCAGTTTTGAGATATGGGTGTTCTAACTTGACAGACAGCGGTGGAAAAGGTGAATTTTTGCCTCTGGGCTTCAGACGCGGATACTCTTCATTTGGATGAGCCGGTGAAGGCTTGGAAATCTGCACGTTTTCACTACCGTCTATGTGTGCCTTCAATACTTAAAGAGCGTGTCCACAACTCTGTGAATGATATAGATGTCAATGAATCCTTCAACTTAAGGCCTTGAGTTGAAGGATTCATTGACTTCTGTACGCATTCATACACCTTTTGCATATGGCTATAAATCGGATTTCTCTTGCAAAACTATTTCACAACTTAGCTTATGTCACATTCTTCAGTACATACTTAAAATATGCCAACAAACATTCACTTCTTCTTCTTAGTATTTGAATAAAAAAAATACGCTTGCAATTAAGAGCACCCTTCCGGATCGCTTTATCAGGCTAGGAAAACATTTCTCTCGCATTGCCCTTCGAAGACCAGCCCAACAGTCTTCAGCAAATTATTAGGAAGTCTAAGTCAGGTCAGGCAAAAGGTAAGGATTCTCACTATGACGCCAGACAACCGACTTTTGGACAATAAAAATTTTCCTCTCCTTTGCGAATGGCATCGTGGGATTGTCTGCTATTGGCAACTGTGTTCATATAAAGCAGCTGCAAAGAAACGTGGAAAGTCATGGGGCTATTATCTGAAAAGAATCTCCTCCACTCATAGATAAAAAAATCAAACTGCACCGCTCCATGTCCATGGTCCGTGGGCGACTGGGGACGTGAGCTGGATAGAGTTGCGCAAACCAATCTACTTACTACACTTCTCTTAAATTTGACTCAGCCATGCGGCGTAAGCGTTCAACTTGCAGATTTCTTTGGGACTAGACTTGCTTTGAACTGTAGCGACAGCTTCTTTTTGTCCTCTCAAAAATTAAATGTTTACAGGAGCAATACGAAGGCAACCGGGAAAAAAGGCTTCCGTGAAGGTCGGTAAATATGTGCTTCTTGACAAAATTGGGGTTGGTGGGTTTGGGGTCGTTCGCAGGGCTATCAATGAAGAAAATGGTTCTGTCGTTGCCATAAAGATATTAGACAAGGTTGAGTTGCAGCTTCAAGAAATGACTGGCCATGCAAAGAGAGAGATCGCATTGCTAACGAAGATAAACCATCCAAACGTGGTGAAGGGGTATGAAGTACTCTCCTCAAAAACAAAACTATTTCTTGTAATGGAATATGTCGATGGTGGGGATCTCCATTCTGCATTGTCCGCTAAGGGGAAGTTCTCCGAACACGAAGCACAAGGAATATTCGGTTCTTTGCTTGCATGCCTAGACTACTGCCATCGACAAGGAATATACCATCGGGACCTCAAACTCGAAAACATACTCTTGACATCGTCTGGTCAACTAAAAATTTGTGATTTCGGACTCGCGAGCGTCAGAACACAAGGAAGCAACACAAACGATTTATGTCGGACTATTGTCGGCACAGAAGACTTCAGTCCTCCCGAAGTTCTCCAAAACATTCCATATAACGGAGGCAAAGCAGACATGTGGGGGGCAGGGATCTTGCTCTTCATCATGCTCAGTGGTTACTGTCCTTTTCAAGGCCGTGACTCCAGGGAGCTTCGAGAAAGAATCAAAAGTTGTCGTTACACATTTCCAACAGACTTTCCAGATGCCGCAAAGGCAATCGTCAAACGGCTTCTCGTACAGCGGGGAAATGACCGCCCTTCGGCTATGGACCTATTGCAGAATGCATGGGTGAAAGACAGTATAACAGAAGTGAAAGAAACAGAGGATCCCTTGTCAAAAAGGAAGAGCGATCATGTAACCGATGAAGTGCAAGCGGAGATCAACGTGTCAAAGCCACCGACCAATCCAAAACCGAAGTTAAACTCTGCGGAAAGTCTTGCGCCGATAGCAGCATCGGCATGGCAAAACAGCCAGAATGTCGAGCTCTCTGCTCTTCTCAGTAGTGGGCTCGAAAATCCATCGCTCGTGTCAAGCAAATCCGTCAGAAGACCCGGAGGTATCGTTTATTATGCACTCGGGTTAGCGACCGTTCCCAATTTCTCCAAATTAATCGAGGCCATGCAGAAAGAAGCGACGGGAGTGCAAGTCCAGAACCGCAAATGGAGATGGAAGTTATATGAAAACTGTTTTGTGGGAACAGATGCCGTTTCATGGTTAACGGGACACGCAGGTTGCACGAGAGACGCAGCTGTAGCATTAGGACAGAAGCTCCTTGACGCTGGTGCACTCCACCACGTGTGCCGCGCACACGATTTCAAGGATGATGCATTGTTCTATCGTTGGATTGATAACGAACCCGAAAATGTCCTGTGCCTGAACTTACGAAAATATTGGCCCAAGCCAGTGTTTCCACCTGATCCTATCTCTGTTTCGGGAAGGCTTCTTAACCAGCTTTCACAACTATGCAAAACCCACCAGCAACCGTACGATTACCAAATGGTGGAAGTGGTGACGTTACAATCAGACGCTCTCTTTCGGAAATTTCTGGATGCAGTTACAGAGCTACAAGTAGTGAACATCAACCCTTACATGGGTACTGAAGAAAAGATAGGTTTCCTTGTGAATGTTTACAACCTAATGTGGCTCCAGGCAAGAATTCATATTGGAAACGTTCACAAGAAAAACGAGTTTAGAACTTTACAGAGGAAAGTCATGTCCCTACAGTATCACATTGCGGGGGTGAGACTTTCTCTCGGTGATGTATTTAGGCTTCTCTTTGGAAATGGTGGAAATGATAACATTGGGGCTGACAACCGCACGATTTCAGAAGGATCAGCTCGTTCATCAACAAGTGATCGGATTCTGTCAATAGGAGGATCATTCATAGTTTCAAAACTTTTGGCAAGACGACGGTCTTATGATGAAAAGAGTGCAATCAACGTGTTAAACCCTGGAAGATTGGAACCGCTCGCGCACTTCCTTACAAGTGAGTGCGCTCCAGAGTCTCCCATAATTCGAGCTGTTTCTGAAAAAGAAATCAACGCTGAGTATTTGACGGAGGTTGCTGCAGAATACTTGAACGTGGTGTTGGATGTCGATGTGGACCGGTATGTCATCTCATACCCACCGAGAGTATCTCAGTTCCGGGCAATGTTGTCGTGTCCAGAGGACGAACACTTTCTTATCGAACTGATACGGATATGTGCTGGTCGCGCCGTGTGCGTGAGGCTGCTCGAAGTCCAACGAAGAAGCAATGAAGACAGAATTCCTGTGAAAGTTACTGCGAAAACAGAAACAGAATTGCCTTACTCCATTTCTTCCTTTGGTCCAAGGTTGGGTTATAGCTTTGCCGTAGCATGAGGCGGAATCGATCTAGTTGGCAGGGGCAGAGGGCTTTTATTTGTTTATCAAGGCGATAATCTGATTCATGCTTGAAACATGTCGTAAGCAATTGCAGCAGAATCAATTCCTTCTATGAGAAATCTACCTTGTTGCTTCTGGGAGCAGCGTCAAACTGCCAGTAAATTATTGGCATGTCTCAGTCCGTAAACGAGACTGGATTTACATGAACTGCGGCATGAAGCCTTTGAGATAGCACGCAAAGCGTTGCTAGTCCAGTCATGATAGTGGCGGAGCTTCAATATAGAATCGAGATGCAAATAAACAGTCGCTGATTAAATGCATTCCGTCATGGCATGTCGCGTTGCAATTTGTGGTGTTGGATCGCAAATACAGTGTCCATGGTAACGCATCCGGCTACGAAACATACGGTTCGAGGGTTTAATAAGAGAAGCCTTAAGTTGAGCAGCATGATCAGTTAGCAGCGATATTCGCTGATGAACCCACCACAGACGATCCGATTTGTAGATAGGGGGGGCGGGGGGGGCAGTTTGCAATCCGACTCGCGTGCAATATTGCACAGCAGTGTCATTCTCACTGTAAGTGATAACCAAGAAAAGTCCACACTGGTCGTAATGGTAATGTATTTTTGGAGAAAAAAAAGGGGCGTTTCGAAATCATGGTTCGATGGGACATATTGCAACTGATGCAGACAGGGTTGCGCATTCGCCATACTTTCATTATCCGAAAGTGCGTTGGTTGCACACCCCTGGTTTTAGTTGACGACTTGCCCGCCAACGATCCCTTCTCGACAGTACACCCCTCCTTGCGACGTGTTGTTACTGCGCCTTTAATACCGGTGGTTATTGAAGAAGACGAGCGTGTGTCTGAATCGCATTGCCCAGCGATTGTGAATTGCAGCTTCGCTATCGTTCAGAGAGAGCGTTGAAGCAAACAGCATTCGTCGCCTCTCGTAGCACCATGGCATCTGAACTCATCCAAAGCGTCGCCGTGACCAACTCCACCGCAGATCTCGTGACAACGAGCACTTCCGAAATCGTTGAGTACTCGATCCTCGCGTCATGCTGGTGGTTCTGGTTCATGCCAGCATGCTATCCGTACTACATGGCCCTGTTTGAGTCGATTTCGCCGTACTTGTGGAGCGTTATGGGCGTCGTTCTTTCCATTGGCGTCTCTGTGTTGGGTTCCGCGTGGGGAATATTCATCACAGGCTCATCCCTTCTCTCGGCGGCCATCAAGCACCCTCGCATTTCAAGCAAAAACCTTGTGTCCGTAATTTTTGCAGAAGCCTGCGCCATTTATGGTGTCATTATGGCTATCATTCTACAGGCAAAGATAGTCGAGTCGGAAACGGGTACCCCTTCCGCGTTTGCGGGATACGCTCTGTTTGCCGCTGGCGCAACTGTGGGGTTATCAAATCTGTTCTGCGGTCTCAGCGTCGGTGTCGTCGGCTCGTCATGCGCGCTTTCCGATGCGCAAAACGGTGCTCTTTTTGTCAAGATTCTAATCGTGGAGATTTTCGCCTCGGCTCTGGGTCTCTTTGGTGTCATTGTTGGTATCATCATGGCCTCAAAAGTCACTGTATAGCTATCGCGGCAGAACATTCCTCCGCTCCGATTTTGCGTTTTTATTTGGCCGAAGGCATCCTAACTAACTTTAGGTAGTTAAGGCGCGCCGCTTGTTCGGGCAAGCATTTGGCTTCATGAGCTGCACATCCAAGGAGTCACATGTGCCCAGTCAGTGATAAAATGGCTGTTATGGCCCTATATTGTTTCTGCAGTGATAGTCAAGAGTAAAGCTCTAACATGCCTCCTACTAATGTAATCTCAACCGGCGCGACTCAGGTCACTGCGTAGGCAGCAGTTGTTTGTCGTCATGACTTCAGAGAAACCGTCACTTCGAGTTTCACGGGCAAATCAGTCCGCATGCCCTAAGACGCTTCCTCAGTCTCCTCTACGAGAACTGACAACCTCTCGATAATCTCTCGAAACGCAGGCCGCTTTGCTGGGTTCGTGTCCCAGCATTCTTTCATCAGTTGTTTAAATCTCGGGTCGCAATTGTCATCAACCGGTGGCATGATCCCGTCCACGACCGACTTGTAGACCTCAATCTGCGGCATTCCTTTGAAGATAGGCAATCGAGTGTAAAGCTCCCAACAAACAGCGCCGAATGAAAACAGATCGACTTTTTCAGTGTACTTTTCGTGGCGAAGCACCTCAGGGGCAGAGAAATGAACAGTGCCTACCGCACTCATCTGTTGATCGGAACGAATACGGGAGAGCCCAAAATCGCAGATCTTGACGTTCATGCCGCGATCGACTAACAAGTTTGTGGTCTTCAAGTCGCGATGAATCATTGGAGGGTCATGTGAATGCAAATACGCCATACCTTGGGCTGTATCAAGGGCCCATTGCTGTCTCAGACTCCAATCCAGCCTTAACGGTTTTCCCTTTGCTTTTATGCCTACGAGTAGGTCCCGCACGTTTCCTCGAGCCATTAATTCAGTTACGATGCAAACTTTGGTCGGTTGCACAGATATTCCCATGAAGAGAACAATGTTTGGATGCCGAAGCTGGCAGTTTAGCTCAGCCTCCTTCTTGAATGCGTCAATACCAGTTGACGCGTTTGGATTGCCGTCTCGTTGGATTGTCTTTACCGCAACTTTGGTGCCATTTAATTTCCCTTCGTTTACAGCACCAAACGAACTATTTCCAATTGTCTTCCCCAGGACAAGAAGGTTGTAGTCTATCATCCAGTGCTCTGAGAGGGACGCAGATTCCTTCCCACTTCCGCTTTCCTCCTTTCCTCCACTAGCAGAGCCAGCTTTGCCTCGCTGCTCTCTTTTCTTCTCCCGCCTATCTGGAAACAGAGTACTATCAACAGCTTTGGCAGAAGGGAGCTCTTTCCCAAATGTACGAGCTTCCAGAGCCTGCATGTTCGCGGAGAGGCGTGGAACCGATGTAACGCTGTGGTGCACCACATCATCTTCGGACATTGAAACCGAATCATTGGATTGCTTAACAAATGGGAGTCGCTCACTTCCCTTGGCATGTTCCTCAACAGAAACTGGTGTCACGGAAATTGAAGCGAACGGACTCGCCTTTCCTAGAAACCCGCGGAACGACTTGGGGGTTGAGGAAAAGTTGAAGCTCCTTGGAGACTGGTAAGGAGACTTACTCGAAAACATGCGAGATAGGGCGATAACTCCGAGAGAAGCTGGGCTGCCACCCGAATGAGACGAGCCTCCCTGGCTTTCTTGCGAAAACGCAGGGGGTGAAGACCCTTTTTCGTTTTTCTTCTTTCGCCGCAAAAGCTTCATGCTTGATTCCGATTTCGGTACCCGATAACCGTATTGAGCGAGATTCGCCGGTTCCAAGACAAGCACGTAGCGCAGACAAGACACAACACAGGGCTTGCTTCGAAAAATGCGGTGATACGATACTAACCCTGATGAATCAAATGCGAAGAAGGCAGGCAGTCGTGTTCTGACGGCTTTCACAAGGTGGCGATGAAAACGAGAGATGGGAGCCCGCTGAAGCAATATGTCACATAAACAAGAGCGAACAAGTGGTAACGCAAATCCTAGACAATATTGCTGGGTGTTCAGGTTCGTGCATACCACTCTTCCAGATGAAAGTCTCTTAAGGCTTCGAGGCTTCGTTAGCAGCCATCTATCCTAATTTTCGGAATGAAGGGCTGTGCTAAGGGAGCGACTTTGACTTGATTTCGTGTCAACATCACAACTGCTCATGAAGATAAAGGAATAAAAGTTTCGCCCGTTCACTCCATAATCATCAATAAGTTTTCGACGCTTCCTGAAGAACCCTTATGCATAGGGCAAGCGGTTGGTTTGTCCTATATTTTCAACATATGAAATCTGCGGTAGTGACTCACATGAGCAAGTCATATATACTGAAATGCATAAATCGAATGGGGCATCCTCTGGGTGTCACCATATTAGCGATATCTAGAGCCAGGATAGAACCATATTTGTTTAGATCTCGCGCTCAAGGAAATCGGTCGGTGACACACCAGCACCCAACACATAGAATACTGCACGAACGAAGTAATGTGTGGCGCGCGTAAATACATAAGGTCCGATGCCTTTCATTACACTGCGATTAGAACAATGAAAAAGCGGCGGCTCAGAGACGTCTTCTGTTCATTTGTGAGATGCTTTCATGACGTGAAAAGGGACGAAACCTACATTTCCTAACGTCGCAAGGAACGGCGAAAGTATCTTCTTCTCATCAGCAAAAATTCACCTGCTTCGTCCCTTTCGCAAAATTCCTCCGCCGCTGACAACAGTATAGAAAGAATATTATTAAAGAAACCTGTGCTGAGAATGGGGCTGTGAAATTGAATAAATCTCCTGTGGGCACATTGCTATAATCAACGTGCCATACGGGGCCGGCCACGAAGGTCTCCGTGATCAAGTTGGTCGCGTAGATAATGTTTTGCTAAGAGTTGTACTCTCGGAATGGCTATCACAAAGCTCATCCTCAACTACGTAGCAGGGTGAATTCTCGAAATTTAGCTTTGAGCAATTTGCAGCCGCTCAAAAATCTCGAAGAAGCTCCACTGGATGGTCCAATTTGCGTATGTGTCCCGTGCTCAGAATAGCATGGGCAAGAAGTGTGTGGAATCAACTTAACATCTCTACACAAAGAATTCCTCACCTCTACGCGATAACAACTAAGCGGTATGATCTCGGAAAGATGTGCGACGCTCGAGACACCGACTAGAGATGTCGTCTTCGCCAAGCTAGGTGATGCACTCACGGAGCGCGCGTTTCCAAGGCAGAATAATATCGATAGCCGCAAGAAGTTGTGGACTGCCTGCACCCCTCTCCTACGACGATGGACTGTGGCGGGAAGATGATGTGGTGTACTTTTATAGGTGGTAATAATTTTCGATTTTCCATTTATTGCCTTGCTCGAGGTGTGGAGTTGTCATTGTCCATCCTCACTCATGACAGTTTTGTAACCTGCTCAAAGCAAACTCGTGAGCATTCTTGGGATGGTGGAAGGCTTCGAAATGGCCAACGTCGCTAATCTTAAGAACGGGAGTTCGTTTCCACCAGCTATGATTTTGTCGAGAGAATAGGCTGAGAATGTACATTTCGTGCGAGAAACGTTTCAGGCTGCGAACCGAAACCATCAGCGGCCACTATCGCTGCCGCTGAGGCTTATCCAATTCCTAAGCCGCATTGCGAATCCGCTTTGTTTTTTCAATCTGCGACTGGAGCGCGATGGTGAGCCAGAGGCTTGAATCTGCGGCAAATCATTCTTATTGCGATGTTGCTGCCCAGCTCGCTTCCTAGCAAGCAACCCACTAAGCGTAACCGGCGTCTGAAACTCGCTGTTTGTCACGCTTGGTTGTGGACGCGGATCTCTAGGGTCCTTGAAGTTGGTCAGCGCCAGTGCGCTATTGCGTCCAAAGAACTGATCTGAGCGTGTGTCAGTGACCACAGGTGCGCTTCCAGCCTCGCTACCTGCGCCATGATGCAACACAAAGGAGCTCCGCAAGCTGTTGACAGAGACGGGCTCCTCTCCTGGAAAGTTAGATTGAGAGCGGCGGGTAGTACCAGAGGCATCTTTGTCGTCGCCTTTGCGTACATTGGGGGGTGCATTGCGAGAACGTCGGAGCATACGCCCTGAGGGATCCCATAAATTGAGGGAAACAGAGCGCAAGCTGCGGGTCAAGACGCGGAGTTTTGAGCTCGGTTGGGACTCTCTGGATAGAGCCTGGATGGCTTTGACGCGCTCGAGGGCTTGTGTCGCTGTGGGACGGTTTGCGCCGTTCTTGGAGAGCAAGTCACGAATAAGTTGCCTTGTCTCTGTGGAGACAGAGGCCCAAATGGAAGGGGTGAAGTGGGGCTCTGTGGATTGGACAGCGCGAAGGATTTGGCGTCCTGTAGAGCCCTGAAAAGGCATGTGGTAGGAGAGGAGAACGAAGAGCATGACGCCGCACGCCCACATATCGGATTGTTCCGGGACATGCTCCCGTGCTGAGGCGATCTCGGGGGAGAGGTAGAGGATGGTGCCGCCGATGTTGTTGCATAGCTCGACTGGCGGGGCGGATGCGGAGCGGACAACGAGCAGGTCAAAGTCGATGAGCTTCATGACTTGGCGGCGGTCGGACGGGAGTGTCTCGAAGACAAAGTTTTCGAGCTTAATGTCGCGATGCGCAGCACGCCTAGAATGGAGGTAGCTGACTGCGTAGAAGAGCTGGCGAGCGAGAAAGAGAACCTGGGGTTCAGAGAAGGGCCTGCCGCGGGCTTCCAGCCTGTCGTAGAGATCGCCGCCGTGAAGAAACTCGAAGACATGATAGAAGAAGGCGTCGTCCTCGAAGTCGTCGAAGAACTGGACGATGTAGCGATGGCGGATGACGCGGAGGGTGATAGCTTGCTTGCGAAGGGCGGCGTGCTCACGCTCAGACAAGGAGGCCTTGCGGACGACCTTGATGGCGACCCAGTGGCCGTCGGATTGGCGGCGGCCCTTGAGGACGGTGCCAAAGTCTCCGCTGTGGACGACGTGGACGACGACGAGACCGGCGGCGACGATGGCGGGGGTCATCCATTGAGCGAGGGGGAAGACGGGGGAGTCCTGCGGGGGTTGGGAGGAGGTTGCGGAGGAGATGGAGGGGGTGGGCGAGGCGCGGATGGAACGGCGCGGGCGCGGGGAGGCGGTTGGGCGGGCGGGCGCAGGGGCGGGGACTGATGGGGAGGGGAACTGAACGCGGTCGAGGGAGTTCTCATCGGAGAGGCGGTGGGAGAGAGGGCGGCGACGCGAGGGGGATGGTGGAGCGGCCATAGCGGTTGGAGTGGGGGGGAAATGGG